TCGCCCGGCTAGTTTTTTGTATTTTTTAGTGGAGACGGGGTTTCACCATGTTAGCCAGGATGGTCTCGATCTCCTGACCTCATGATCCGCCCATCTCGGCCTCCCAAAGTGCTGGGATTACAGGCTTGAGCCACCGCGCCTGGCCCGCTAAACTTAGATCTTAATTGTGCATTTTGGATCATTTTAGTTGATTATGCCCATGATTACCTGTTAGAGATAATGTATAATTTCATAAATGAGTGATCACACATTAGTCATTCTTATCAGTTTCAACGCAACACTTTCACATATCATGAATAGTCACAGAGTTACCATAACCTTAACATAAATCATTATCCTTTATAATATATCTATAAGTAGAAATCTATTAAATGGCTTTTCTAATGTGTCCTAAATTCAGACACTGCTGTAATACGTATAACAAAAATCCTTACCACAGGCCTCCTTTCCGATCGGTGATGAGTAATACAGTGATCCAGCAAGCTGTCTTCATCCAGTTCCCTTTGACAAAAGGGACATACACACCTGGAAATAACACAGAATACAAATATTACTAAAATGGTTGGCAACTAGATAGTAGTCACTTTTTTTTCTTTTTTTTTGAGACAAGAGTCTTGCTCTGTGGCCCAGGTTGTGTGCAGTGGCATGATCTCAGCTCAATGCAACCTCCCCACCTCCCAGGTTCAAGGGGTCCTCCTGCCTCAGCCTCCCAAGTAGCAGGGATTACAGGCCCCCACCACCACACCAAGCTAATCTTTGTATTTTTAGTAGAGATGGGGTTTCACCATGTTGGCCAGGCTGGTCTCAAACTCCTGACTTAAGGTGATTCACCCGCCTCGGCCTCCCAAAGTGCTGGGTGGATTACAGGTGTGAGCCACCACACCTGGCCACATATCTGAATTTGGACTAGCCACATTTCAAGTGCCCAGTGGACACATCTTGGACAGCACAGATAAGGGACAAATATTCCTAAGTGTACATAAGGACTTAACAAGGTAGCTGCAGGTCACTTTTCTTTTTCTTTCTTTTTTTTTTTTTTTTCTTTTTCAGAGGGAGTCTCACTGTGTCACCCAGGCTGGAGTGCAGTGGTGCAATCTCGGCTCACTGTAACCTCCACTTCCTGGGCTCAAATGATCCTTCTGTCTCAGCCTCCCAAGTAGCTCAGACCACAGGAACGTGCCACCATGCTAATTTTTTGTATTTTCAATAGAGATGGGAGTTTCACCATGTTGCCCAAGCTGGTCTCAAACTCCTGAGCTCAAGCAATCCACCCTCCTTGACCTCCCAAAGTGCTGAGATTATAGGTGTGAGCCACCTCACCCAGACTGCAGGTCATTTTTCATTCTTCACTGGAAACTAACAACATAGGCTGACGCGTGTAGTTATATGCTAGTGAAGGTGGAAAACAAATAACACCCCATCTAAATGTTATGTGAATTCGGAAAGGGAGGAAGAAAAAGGTAGTTCAAGGACAACTGGGTGCTGCAATCCTCAATTTCTCAGTTAATGCATGCTCAGATTGCACTTCTCTCCCAAAGAGAAGTGCAGTGAACCGGGATCGCACCATTGCACTCCAGCCTGGGCAACAAGCGTGAAACTCTATCTCAAAAAAAAAAAAAAATTCAGATTTGCTGGATGTATAAGATACACACTGAATTTTGACGGCTTAATGTAAAAAGAAAAAAGAATGTGAAATATCTTGATAATTTTTGTACTGATTACATGTTCAAATGATAATATTTTGGCAACATTAGGTTAGATAAAATATATTGAAAGGTAATTTAAACTTTATCTTCTTATTTGTTTAAATGTTGCAACTAGAAAATTTTGAATTACATGTGATTAACATTATATTTCTAGGCTGGGAGCAGTGGCTCACAGCTGTAATCCCAGCACTTTGGGAGGCCGAGACAGATGGATCACAAGGTCAGGAGTTCAAGACCGGCCTGGCCAAGATGCTGAAACACCGTCTCTACTAAAAACACAAAAATTAGCCGGGCGTGGTGGCACATGCCTGTGATCCCAGCTACTCGGGAGGCTGAGGCAGGAGAATCGCCTGAACTCGGGCGGCAGAGGTTGCAGTGAGCTGAGATCGCGCTTCTGCACTCCAGCCTGGGAAACAGAGCAAGAGTCCATCTCAAAAAAAAAAAAAAAAAATCATTATATTTCTATTGGACAATACTGCCTTAAGTTCTTAGGGACAATATGGAGTCTTGGAGTTGTTGGCTCACTTTCTGTTACAGACGTAACTTTCTGTGCCCCAAAACTTGTACTCCAGACAAACACTATGTGTAAGAATTTTTACAATTTGAATTATGTGGCAAATTCTTCTGTAAAGCAAAGATTTTTTATCATAAATCCAAATATTAATTTATCTTGTAAAATAATCAACAACCCTCCCCATTTTCTATTATTTTAATTCTTTACTATTTAATTCTAACCAGTAAAATAATTGGGATTCATATTAGCTTTCATATATTTTTAAATTTTCATAAAAGCCGTCAACCTTGCAATCAAACCCACACTTTCTCAACCTGTTTGTAATGCTTCCTTCCTATTGGTCATTGTGGTCAATCTAACAGGATCCATACTCTGTTTATAGCTAAAATACTCATTTGAAATTTATAATGTCAGGGTATAAAGCTAATCCTATAATAACAGGTGCTTTTGCAAGGCAATCTCTAGTAAAACAAAAGGAATAAAGTGATTATTTAGACTTTTAATTTTGAAATGTAAGCTCTATTGAGTATATTTTCTAAAAATGAGCAGAACTAACATTTTTCTCTGGGAGAGAGAAACTATACAGAATACCAATATTGGATACATGAATCCATAGACAGATTAATGTCTGGAAAGCCATCAACCTTTGCTAGAGAGCACAAATCACTTTATTTGGTTAGTAGGAGCAGATTATAAACTTTATAATTACTTTGATGCAGCTAAATTTCCTTTCTCATCAGGAAAATAATAACCTAGATGTGTTTCTTTCTTTCTTTTTTTAACAGAGTCTTGCTCTGTCACCCAGGCTGGAGTGCAGTGGCCAGATCTCAGCTCACTGCAACCTCTGCCTCCCAGGTTCAAGTGATTCTTGTACCTAAGCCTCCAGAATAGCTGGGATTATAGGTGTGCACCACCATGCCCAGCTAATTTTTGTGTTTTACTAGAGACAGGGTTTTGCCATGTTGCCCAGGCTGGTCTCGAACTCCTGATCTCAAGTGATCTGCCCGTCTCACCCTCCCAAAGTGCTGGGATTGCAGGTGTGAGCCACTGCACCCCATGAATGTTTCTTTCTCTCTTTTTTTTTAAAGAATAAAATATTATCAATATCCTCCATTACATCTACCAGCTACCTCCGTCCTCCCCCTATCCCCATACCAGATTACCCATCAAAAAGGCAAAGGATTCAGGATGCCTGCCCAGCCTGTTCTCTTGTATACTGAGACGCTGCTGTCTCTATTCTAAAGAGAAACAAGCAAAATGATAAGGAACAAGCTGGTGAAATGAGCAGTGGTGACAGAAGATGGATAATCCCAACCACGATCTACTTCAGGAATCATCTATTGGAAAACAAAGCCTAGCAGAAATGTAACAGTTCTGCATTCTATTTTTGGATCTGTGTTAACACAAACTTGTTTGAGGAAGTTGCCCCAATCTCTCCAGTCTGTGGTTGGTTGCCCCTGGAAATTTTTAAAGTAGAGAGAGCAAAATTCTTCAACAATGATTGCTGTCAACAAATGATTACCAGTACCAGGTATTATAGTTGAGAACGTAAACATAAATACATAAATATTTTCATAAGAATGTTAAAGTTTCCAGCCCATTAAATTCTTTATAAACGTTATCAATTATAGCATTAAACTATATTGTATGGAAACAAACCTCGCTGCTGTCTCCTCAAGTTCTTGTAGTGGTCCATACTTATCTATGTACTTCTGACAAGTCCGAATATGTGCCCTCATTTCACTGAGGCAAACCTACATAAAAACAAATTCAAAATGAACTCATATGTTAAAAAAGGGCTCAATGAAAGCTTATGTGATCCAGCCTTTTAACTTTCAAATAAGGTCATACTGTGGGATCAATTGACTAAATAGATGCATTCATAACACCAGTACCACCAAAAATTAAGGCATTATCAGGAATACTACTATTTTTCAAATTCTCCAACACTTAGAAGACCCAACTATTAAGTTCTTGAATTTGGTTCTTCTAAAAAGCATACACATTTTTTAAAGTAGATAGATGTGTAGCAACTCAAATTTACTTCTTTTGCATGCCATTACATAAACAGGTTTTAGAAAGAAGGAAGGGGGAAAAAGGGTGAAGAAAAAGAGCACGAGAGAGAGAGAAAAGAAGAAACAATCTAAGATAGAAAAAGAGACAGAAAAAAGAAATGGAGAGATAAGAAGAATAAATGGATAAATTTTAGAGGTGCCCATAGTAAGCTAAATGAAACACTGTGCCTTAGGGAAAGATATCAATACCATGGTTTTATAACACCCCCAACAGTATTACATGAATTCACAATACACGGTATACTTAATGGTCCCATTAAGAGCAAACATAAAAGACAGCTCTTGCAGTCCATTTTTATCAATGCAGAATAAAGAGCCCTTGTTCTTTCACATATACATTCAGAGATCCTAACCATGAGGGATCTGTTGCTAACATAACACACCCTATTAAATGTTTCATTAGAAACTCTGATAAGATCTTGTGCTAAAGGAAGCTCTGTACAGCTGTGGTAAGGTGGCCGACCCACTCTGCTTCATTCTGCCCAAGCTACGGAAGTTAAACCTCAAACATGAAATTGCCATGTCAAGGAAACAGTTATAGTTGTTTAACAAAGGGCAAAAATAAAAGCCAGTGGAAAAGTAAGAACAAAACCCTGGCTTTACAAATATCCACCTAAAAGAGATGAAAACTAGGATTGATCTGCATAAGCTGTCTTAAACAGATGTATTTTACAATCTGTAACATCCAACTTTGCACATTAGCATTCTCTCATGTCTTTATGACTTTTGCTAGTAAAAATTTCTATTTGTATTCTTTGTTCAACAAAGATATGCATTAGTCATGAAAATTAACAAGCTGTGGGCTACTGACAAATGAATTGATCAATTCATAGTCTAGACACAAAATTATCTGAGACATTATAAAAAATGGCAGAAGAAATGTAATTCATTGTGCCTATTCTAATGGTGCTTATAATCTAATAGAGGAAAGAGGATGTGTAGACAAGTAGATAAGAAATTGTCTGATATAGGGGCTAGGCATGGTGGATCACACCTGCAATCCCAGCACTTTGGGAGGCTGAAGTGGGTGGATTACCTGAGGTCAGGAGTTTGAGACCAGCCTGATGGAACTCCCTCTCTATTAAATTAGCTGGGTGGGGTGGTATGCACCAGTAGTCCCAGCTACTTGGGAGGCTGAGACAGGAGAATTGCCTGAACCTGGGAGGTGGAGGTTGCAGTGAGCTGAGATGGTGCCACTGCACTACAGTCTGGGCGACAGAGCAAGACTCTGTCTCAAAAAAAAAAAAAAAAAGAAAGAAACTGTTTTATATAGGGAACTGGAATACTAAGGCCAGGCCTCAAGAAATGGAGATCTGGTCGGGACTCTGAAGAACACAGAGAGTGCAAAATGGGAGAGGGCAAAATGTGCGTAGAAGGAATGGGGAGCATTCCTAGAAAGAGGGATAACACAGAAAGGAAAAGACAGAATATAAGAAGTATCTCAAGGCTGGGCGCAGTGGCTTATGCTTGTAATCCTAGCACTTTGGGAGGCTGAGGTGGACAGATCACCTGTGGTCAGAAGTTCAAGACCAGCCTGGCCAACACGGTGAAACTCCATCTCTACTAAAATACAAAAATTAGCCGGGCGTGGTGTCGGGTCCCCATAATCCCAGCTATTCGGGAGGCTGAGGCACGAGAGTCGCTTGAACCCAGGAGGTGGAGGTTGCAGTGAGCTGAGATCGCACCACTGCATGCCAGCCTGGGCAACAGAGTGAGACTCTGTCTCAAATAAAAATAAAAATAAAGATATAAGCCCGATCTTGGCACTCCAAAATTTGCTCTCTTTCTCTGGCTTACTATTGCATTTAAGATAAAAATCTAGAATCTTCTACATAACCTTCAAGACCTCACATGATCTGGAGAGGCTGATATAGTACCCAAGCTGAAAACTGCAACAGGCAAGGTGTGCTTGATAGAGACAAATACGGCAAAGTTCAGATTAATACAGGTGGAAATATGTCACTGGGTTTGATAATAAAGCTATTCATTGATGGCCTGCAATAGAGTAGTAGAACTGAAGGACACATCATAGAGGATCACTGGAGTAATGGAAAGAAGGGAAAATGGAGGTGGTCAATGAAAGCATTTGTTTGACAAATTAGGGGTGATGGCAGGAGTTCAGGGTTTTTTGCAGATGATATATATATATATATATAAAATTGGAGGCTAGGTGAGATGGCTCACGCCTGTAATCCCAGCACTTTGGCGGCCAAGGTGGGCAGATCACTTGAAGCCAGGAGTTTGAGACCAGCCTGGCCAACATAGCAAAACCCTGTCTCTACTAAAAAGACAAAAAATTAGCCGGGCATTGTGGCACATGCCTGTGGTCCCAGCTACTCCAGACGCTGAGGCATGAGAAACACTTGAACCTGGGAGGTGGAGCTTGCAGTGAGCCGAGATTGCGCCACTGCACTCCAGCCTGGGTAACAAGGTAAGACTCTGTCTCAAAAAAAAAAAAAAAAAAAGACATGGACCCAAAGAGTGAGCGGTAGCAAGGGTTCTTGTGAAGAGCAAAAGGACAAAGTTCCCACAGCCTGGAAGGGGACCTGAGCGGGATGCCACTGCTAGCTGGGGTGGCCGGCTTTATTCTCTTATTGTCCCCTTTTTTCAATCCAACCTGCGATTGGCTACTTTTAGAATCCTGCTGATTGGTGTGTTTTACAGAGTGCTGACTGGTGCATTTCATAGAGCAGTGATTGGTGCGTTTCATAGAGCAGTGATTGGTGCGTTTTATGGAGCGCTAATTGTTTGACAATCCTCTTGTAAGACAGGAAAGTTCCCCAAGTCCTCATGTGACCCAGGAAGTCCAGCTGGCCTCACAGCTCACCAGCACTTTGGGAGGCCGAGGCAGGCGGATCACGAGGTCAGGAGATCGAGACCATCCTAGCTAACATCGTGAAACTGCGTCTCTACTAAAAATACAAAAAATTAGCCAGGTGTGGTGGCACGTGCCTGCAGTCCCAGCTACTCCAGAGGCTAAGGCAGGAGAATCGCTTGAACCCGAGAGGCGGAGGTTGCAGTAAGCCGAGATCGCACCACTGCACTCTAGCCTGGGTGAAAGAGCGATACCCCGTTTCAAGAAAAGAAAAGGTGAGTACCACGGGGTCAGAAGCAGAGGTGAAATAACTTTCACAGGGACTTAAGCTGGTAACCATGAACATAGGTGGGGTCACATACCAGGGTGTCACACTCAGCGCAGTTCTTATACTCTGATTTCATTCTTTTGGCTACATCAGTTGCTGGAACTCCTTCTGAAGGAAGATATGCCCGGCAATAAGGACAGGTCCATTTGTTGTTCTTTAGACTGGTAGCAATACAGGAACGGCAGAATCTATCCCAAACAAACCAAAACTACATCACTTTCCTTGAAAGCTGTAAGGAGCCACCACCATGTATTCATTTGTGTAAACTGTAATTTAATGACACCTTGTACCCCATGAGCCATACTACCAAATTACAGGTCCACTTGCACCCTACACATCCCGAGAATTGCTTAACTTCCCAGCAAGACTTCTTCGAAATCACACATTCTTACCATCTGCACTTTCACGCATTTCAAGAAAAGAATTCAAAGTGGGTGAAATAGCTTTCCTATAGGCTAAGTTTAAACGATAATTTAAAGAATGTCTACATTAGATTTTACCTCAAATTTCTTGAGAAAATATGTCTTTCTTCTGTGCGGTTCTGTGTGTCACATAAGAAAATGGCAGGAAGTCAAGGAAGTAAAAATACCAGACACATTATAATTCCCTATAAAACCATTTTCTCCTTCCCTCCCTGCCTTCCTCCCTCCCTCCCTCCCACCCTTCCTTCCTTCTCTTTCTGTCCCTCCCTCTCTGCCCACCTCTCTTTTTCCTTCTTTCGAGAGCCAGGGTCTCGCTAGGTTTCTTAGGCTGGATTCAAACTCCTGGGCTCAAGAGATCTTCCCCGCTTAACCTCCCAAATGGCTGGGACTACAGGTGCAAGCACCACACCCAGCATAAAATAATTTTAAAGTCATCCCCAGATATAGAAAATTAGCTAATTAAGATGACCACTATTAGGAATGTCTTCCAAGTCAAGAAATACGTTCTTTGGTTTATTTAAAGGTGCTCATTATGAAATCTTAACATAATCAACATTTCCAGAAAATTCTCACCTATTTATAGGAGTTGTTGAAGGCTCCATGAACACAGAAATAAAAATGAGCATTTAGGTATTTATACACATCAGCATGAACCTCATACCTCTTAAACTACTCAGCGCATAATATCTATTTGGGAGTATTAATACATGTCAAAAGGTAGGCTTTTTAAATTTAAAGTATACTATACATACTGGAAAGTTCTTATATCATAAGCATATAGTTGAATGAAATTTCAAAGTTGAACACATCCATATAACCAGTACCTATAACAAAAACAGCATGGCCAGCCCCTAAAATTTCCCCTCTTGTTTCCTTCTCTCTCTTTTTTTTTTTTTTTTTTTTTT